GTCAACACAGACCCCAGCTACAGCAGGACCACTGATCCAGACATGGCCCTTGTTGGCAGCCCGGGCTATGAACTCACCATGGCCCCTTATCTGCCTGTCCCTCACTGCCATCAAGCTTCCAGTTCTCCCTTTCCCCCCCGTGTAGGAGGCCCTCGGCTTTGCTTTCTCTTCCACCTCTCCACTGCATGCTCCATCTTCCCCACCTCTCCATCACATACGTGTTCATTCATCCATTGTAGTGGTGCCTGTGGCAAGGGCTTGGGTGCTTTCTCCTTGCCCCTCCAGCTGACCGTTAAGGTTTCTTTGTAATTGTGTTTATGGATGTGCTGCAGCGCCCTCCCTCAGAGGTCAGACTTCTCAGAGCTAGAGTTAGTTACAGGTGTCTGTGAGCCAACCAGTGTTTTGGTGCTTGGAACCAAACTTGGGTCCCTTGAGAGACAAGATGCAGCAAGTATCTTAACCAACAAGTCACTTCTAAAATAAAAATTTAAAAACCATTTATTATGTGTACACGCCCACCACAGCATGGGCGTGGAGGTCTGAGGACAACTTTCCGGAGTCAGTTTTCTCCATCTCCCATTTGAGTCTCGGGGATTGAACTTGGGCCATCAGGCTCTGTAGCAGGTGTCTTGATCTGCTGAGCCTGGCTCTGCAGTTAATTTTTGTGTATCGATAGGGCATTTTGCACATCACATTCCTAGCCCTGGGCTTAACCCAGGGGGCAGGTATTTCTGAAGTCACTCTGACTGACTCATACACAACAGGCCAGGCCTGGAGACAGTGTGTCAGCGGGGGCTAATGCAATATGGAGAGGGTAGCAGTGGGGAGAGAAGTGAGAAGGCTTGATCCACAGGGCCGAGGCGGACCTGGAGAAGACAAAGCATCAAAGAGAGCCCAGCCTTTCCACTCCGGTCACACTGACCAGGGCCGGGAGGGATGGTCAGCTACGTTCCTGGATACGTAGCTTTGATGTACTTTTAAAAACAAGGCCAGGTGGCAGCTGCATAAGCCAGATGAAGGAGTTCAGATCAGGTCCAGGCTGAAACAAAATCTGGGTTATCAGGGAGCCCGAGCAGGATGGAGGAGCCCGCCCTGGGCAAGAGTGGGTGCAGAGCCCCAGGACCCAGCAGAAGGACACAGGAAACCTGAGTGGCAAGGTGACTCAGCCAGGAGTCTGACCTGCAGGTGGCAGAAGTCTAGAGACAGAAGAAGAATATCTTCTTGTGACAAGCCTCTTGAGGTGAAACTGAAAAGGGCGAACCGCCACGTGTGCCACAGTTCCCGGAGGCTCGCTCCGTCTTGTCTCTCCCAACACTGCAAGCCAGATGTAGCTGCTGGTGCTCAGTCTTAGCCTGGCAGACGTTAGCACGGAAGGCCATTTTCAGCCCTCACAGGCTGGAGTGCACTGATGCACTCACTTTGTGGCTGTCGGGCATGCTCTGAGCTTGCACCCCATGCCTGTGTAATGAGCAGATTCCTCACTCCTGTGCAGGTCAGCCATGCCCCTGCCGTTCCTAAGTGGGTCAAGTCTTTCTCCTGGGGTAGGCAGGCCAGTACCAGGGGCCAGGGCTACGTTCCCAAAGGCCAAGGGGCCTGCGATGTCACAGGGGCTCCCCTGGTGACATAGAGCATGGCCTCCTTACAGTTCCCACTTACACAGGCCTTGCTTGGAAGCCAGAGGAGCTCACAGCTCTCAATCTGTCTACCTGACAGACTGCTGATGAAGGCCACCGCAGGCAGCTGTGCCCATGAGGGAAGAGTAGAGGGCTGAGTGGACTCTTACAAGGTCAGGCAGACAGCAGCACAGACCATGGTACCGCAGCGCAGGATGCTTCATCAACACAGGGCCGATGGATAGCGGAAGGGCCCAGCCCTCACATTACTCAGGCCAGTTGGCTCTTTGGCTTCAGAACACTGCCTATCAGACCATCTTGTGGACAATACAATTATACCTCCCACCAAGGATGGCTGCCACCTGACATGGAGGAGGCACATGTGACAGGCTTGCGTACACTGGGAAGGAGGGAGGCACTGTGGCTGTACTGACCACTGGGCTGTGTGCCCACAGTGGCTTTTGTATTTCCTCTATGGGACTGCTCACTGACCCTTTCTGGGTTCTTGTAGAGGTTCCAGAACCAGTCAGCATCCACTGTGAACTTAAGAAAAAGAAAGATTTTGAGTGTTTTGATCATGTATGTGTTTAAGTACCACAGGAGTGTTTGGTGCCCAAGGCTAGAAGAGGGCATCTGAGCCCCTGGAACTGAAGTTCTGGGTGGTTGTGAACCACCATGTATGTGTTGGGAATTGAACCCAGATCATCTGTAAGAGCAACAAGTGTTCCTAACTGAGTCATCCTTCCAGCCCCCACTGTACACTCTTAACGCCTACGCGGTGTGGAACTCTGCTGGATAAGGTTGAAGTCTGACATCTCCAGATAGCTATTTGTTTGTGCTCCGTCTATGATGATGGACTCCCTTCTCTCGTCAGGGTTCTTTTCCCCCCTGATCTGGGTGACCCCAGATTTTGTAAGGAGTGTCACATAGCCCTCAGAGTAGATTACAGGCCAGACCCTTTCCTGAAAAGAAAGCCTGTCCAACAAGCATATGGAAATCTCTAGAAGTGCCCCACCCTGCTAAGATCTTAGTTTTAAGCAATGACCTTCAACTGTACTTGGAGATTCTCCCACCCATAGGATAATTAAGTACTGTGTTCTTCTTATGATAGGACCCTGTTACTGCATGTAAAATGTACCACTACATGTAAATTAGTTATCTCTGATTATCCCCTAACCCCATCGAATCAAACACATTCGCCCTTGAAACCCTTCCCTCTGCCCAAGGTTTGTATTACTCTTAATTTCACACACACTCTCACTTCAAGGCCATGTAAGACTCATTTACTTGGGGGGAGAAGAATCGCTGCTGGACACCCAGACTTGGCTGCCAATTAGGCAGCTGCCAGCCCAGGCGGCTGCGAGCTTCTGTACCACCCAGGGCCTGACTGCCGGTATCCAGGCCCCAGGCCAAGGCTGGTGCTAGAGCTCATTCTGTACCAAACTTAGTAAATGGGGTTCTAGTGTTCAGTGTGTAGGGTCAGTGGGTCAGGGAGGTCTCTTGGCCTCAGCAGGTGAACCTGTGGTCAGATAGCAGGCTCCTGCTTTCCCAGTGCCAAGCTGGGTCTGTGGAGTCAGACGTCACCAGAAGCAGCATTTCTAGCTAGGATGCCCCTAGGTGGCTCTGGGAAAGCTTTGGGAACAGCCAAGAGCTTCCTCCTTCCACTTCAGCCCTGGCACTTCGGTAGTCACAGAGCTTGTTAGGTGGGCCTGCAGATTCACCAGTGCCAGGTAGAGACCAATCCTAGATTAAAAGTCCTGATCAGAGCTGGTGTCAAAACACCAAAGACAGCCTCATCAACCCTGCCTGGCACCAGTAGGAGGCACAGTCTCAGGCCCTAAAAACCCCAGAATCACACACTCTGGGCCCTGCGGACACCTAGCACTCCTGGAAGTGAGAATGGCTAGATTTCTTAACCCCTGGGATCACTTTCCTCCCCTGCCTCAGCACTCTCTCCTGGAGTCTTAAGACTGTCCCTCCTCTTCATCCTTTGCTCTAGACACCTTTTTAAACCCAAGTCACTGAAAGGGTTACAGCTCAGGCCCTGTGCAGCAAAATCTTGGCCAATGACACGCACTCTACAGCTTTGTGGAACACAAGGCATGTTTAACATCACAACTGTGCAGCAGAAACCAGAGCTCCCCACTCTGAGCTGGGCCTGGGCTCCACTCTTCCTCCAAGTGGATCTGGGCTTGGCTGCTGACTGGGTTGCATGGGGGCAGGGTGACACAGCTTTCTCCAGGTCTGCGGTCTGCAAAGACCAGACTATAGATGGGCAAGTCACACAATCAGCAGGCTCCCTGAATGGCCACTCACCCTGGAGTGGCTCTGAGCAGGAAAGAGCCTGTGGTGAGGGAGTGTGGGGATGTTGGTCAGCTCTGAAAGGCATCATGGATGGAAATGGGCTATGTTCGTTCTACTTGTGGTGGGGCCCTTTGGAGGCACACACTCTGAAAACTTGTAACTGTGTGTTTCATTTTTTCCCCTGTACTTGGTGTTTGGGTATTTGTGCATGCAAAGGCCATAGCCTGACAATGAGTGTCCTCCTCTGTCACTCTTGACCTTGTCTTGAGGCAGGGTCTCTCACAGGACCCAGAGCAGGAAGCTCTGGATCCTCCTGTTCCCCACACATGAGGCTTGCAGGCACCACCACAGCTGGCTTTTATGTGGGTGTTGAGGATCCAAACTCTGTAGTATGTGTGTGTAGCTGGCACTGTACCCACTGAGCCACTCGTCCAGCCTGAGCTGCATGAGAAGGTGAAATTAGCCTGCATGAAGTGCCTGTCAACCGAAAACACTCCCACTCAAGTACAGGGTGAGTGGCAAATGACTTACAGTGCTTTGGGCTGACCTGAATGTCTGATGCCCACAGGGATGACAGGCACAGCTACTGGAGAACCAGGAAGCCTGGTTCAGTGGGGCTTAGCCCCAGACCTCTGCAGTCACCTCCCCTTAGGTGGCAGCAGTGCTGGGCCCTGGCCTGGAGTCTCCTATGACTGCATTCTAGTGGTCTGCATATAGGCGCGGTGATGGTGCAGCCTTGCCCGGTGGGCCTACTGTCAGTGAGAGTAGGTGGGAGGCAGCCAGCTAACTTAATGAGCACAAATAACAAAGAAGGAATTACGACGGTTTTCAACTTGTGAGTTGTGACCCCTCTGGGGTTCAAATGACCCTTTCACAGGGGTTGCCTAAGACCATCTGCATATCAGGTATATACACTACAATTCATAACAGTAGAAAAATTACAGTTATGAAGTAGCAACAAAAATAATTTTATGGTTGGGGTCACCATAGCATGAAGAACTGTATTTCTTGCAGCGTTAGGAAGGTCGAAAGCCACGGTTGAGAACCACTGAATTAGGAGGAAGTCGATAGGAAGCACTCAAGTTCCCAGCATGGAATCTTTATTGGACACATTTACTTTGCAGTGAGACACAGTGGCCAGCCCACCAATCCTGAGCACATCCACAGCCCATGCTTGTAAGTACTCAGCGATTAATGCTAACATTACTCAGTGGCCCAGCCCCTGTACCCCAACCTGAGTAAGACATATAGGCCCATGAGAGCTCCTGCAGGTGAAACCTCTGGGTTTAGTCTGACAGTTATTTGGGTCAGCTAGGGACTGGAGAGTTCCCATGTATGGCAGGCTTTCTGGCCCTGTCACAGAGGGAGACAAGAGCTTGAACACAAGAAGGCTGGCCCTTCAGCTCCCTTCAGCACAACCTCCAAATGAGCATCCTGTATTGGGAGTGAATCTGTCTTACTCTGGTCTTTATGGACACAACAGGAACTTGTGTGTGGCCTGGCTGCAGTCTCCCTGTCGTCAGGATCATACCAGGTCCCGGCAACTGGTCATGACTATGTCTGCCTCTAAGCTTGCTCTGTCTCTCAGCACTGGAAAGCAGACAGGGGTTCCCCTGGCCAGGCAGAGGAACCTGAGGTGCCATCACGCCACCTAAATGCATGACACTTTTTAAAGACAAAGCAGACAAACCTCAAAGGACAGAAGCGGCCCTGCAGGAACTGGAAGACTCCTTGGTCTGTGACCTATGACCACATTCCAGGTGGTACAGCTGTGAGTGAGGCTCCTGTAAATATCTTACAGAGTCTTTCCAGGGCAGCCCGGGAAAGCTGGAATAAAGGGCACATCCTTGAGAACACTGGCCTGTTCTACACAGCCAAGAATAAAGAATAAAGTCCTTAGGAACCCCAGGGAGGAAAGGCAGCAGCAGTGGGCAGGGCGGGCCTCTGGGTGGCACACTTTGATGCGCTGAAGCCCCTGGGCAGGCCACGGCCAGCAGGTGAACTGAGGTGGGTGGTGGGGTGAGGGCTGAGGGATGGGGGTGGGCTAGGCTCATCCTTTGAGGATCAGCAGCTTGGCAAAGAGAGGTTGTTCCCCAGTGTGTGGAGCTGGGCCAGCAACCTTGCCAGACTAATGCTTCCTCGAGGAACACACTTTGGGATGTGGGAGGTGGCCAGAGGCCACTGAAAATGAACATAGGTCTCTTTGATGGGCTTCCCCTGCTGCACTCCGAGAGCCAGACAGGCATTGTGGTGTGCGGAGAGCGCCGTGTGGTGCAAAGCAGCAACACACAGCGTTAGTTTGCATAGTTTGCTCTCTCTTGATAGGATGCTCCCTGGCTTAGAAAACATACCCTGCACCCAGCTGCTGGCAGACAATGCTGCAATGCACCAGGCCTATGGCTGGGTATGCCAGGGAGGGCAAAGGGAGTCAACAGAAAGCAGGAAAGACTTGGGGGCTGGGGGAAGAGAGAGGGGAAATGAGAGAAAAAAAAAAGAGGGAGAAGAAGAGGAGGGAGAAAAGGACTGAAGGACCAAGAGGAGCAGAAATCCTACAAGCGCCTCAGGAGCTATCTGGCCCTGGCTGGCTGAGCAGGCTGGGGGTTGGAGAGTGGGGACACTTAGGTATTTTACTCTGAAGTGGTTTTTGAAGGAAAACTGAAGACTTAGGCCTTCTCTTTGACCCTAGTGAGCTGTTCCTCTAAAGAGAATGAACCCCAGTCAGGCTAAACATTAGACTTTACACTGCTAGGAGGCAGAATTCAGAGCTGAACACTTGCTCCTGTTGTCCACAGCGTATTAAATGTCACAGCCCACAGCGCTCTCAAATAAAGCACGGATACCTCACACAGGCAGCGTAGAGGGGCACACAAAGCAGGGCTATAAATACCACAGTGGCAGGGCAATGTGCGCTCCATTTTTGCTCAGCCCCTGCAACGGGCAGGCTTCACCCTTCAGACACGGCTGTGCGGGGCTGGGTGGACTCAGCCCTAGGCTGCAGAGGGAAGCCCGTGAACTGGAGCGGCTGGGCAGCACTGGACTCCAACCAGATTCCAACCCAAGGTCACTGCTGAATGCTGGCTCACGGCTCTCAAGTGATGGAGCTGAGATACATTTCCAGTACAGGATGAAGAGCTGGGGGTTCTCCTCTCCATAGCCTGGGCACCAGGCCAGCCTTCCCAGACCCGTGCTAGGCTTCTGATTCCCCCGGAGTGCCTGGCCTGCCTCCTGCGGCAGTGATAGGGCAGGCCTTGGGAGGGACACTGGGGCAGCACACCTCTCTGCTTGTGTACCCATGCTCTGGAAGGACCAGACCTTCCTACAGGATGCTCCTATCAGGACCCTACGGCCCCTGAGACATGCACCGGGAGAGAGCTGTGAGCTGGGCTCTGGCTCCTTCACTGAGTCACACTATGAAAACCCAGCAAGTGAAAGGAGGGCCTCCACAAAGAACCCGCCTGAGGCAGGCTGCTCACACCTTCTGTGAGTCTAGTGCCTAGTGAAGAATGTGGGGGGGGGGGGGAGGATCACACCGCACTCTGAGGGCCAGGCTGTGGGCTTTGATGTCACTGCAGGAGCACACTTCAGCAGTGCTGGTGGAGTGCTTGTGTGCAATAAACAAAGCATTAAAAATTACCTCATCTTCTCTCCAACTCCCTTCCCACATAGTTAAACAAATAAGCAAGAACAAAGCAAAGAAAGAGAAAAAGGTCCCTGAAGTGAATCCTTCAGGCCTGCCTACCCTCCTCAAGACGGAACACCTGTGGTGGTGAGGGAGCTCCTAGGACAGGAGAGGAAGCAGCTTCTTACTGGAGGTGTAGAACGTGGAATTGGGGTGGCGGGGTGGGACACAACTGTTTTCAAGACAGAGATTTGAGTCTTCAGCACTGGGAGGTAGGAACTGACACCCCAGGAAGCCCCTGTCCCTTGAAGGCATGACTCACCTACAAGTCCTGGACACTGAGTGCCTCTGAGGTGCTTTGAGCTGGCCACCTGTGCCCTCATCACACGCCTTCTAAGCTCGTCTCTGTTGTAGCTCTGCTCCACGCAGGCAGCCACTGGTATTACTGCCCAAGCTCTGAGCAGACCTCGCTGTCCCAGGTCCCTGAGCATGAGCAGCTCGAATGTGTGCACTTCCTTCACGCATACTTGGACTATGTAGTTGAGGATCAGAAGTCCTGCCTAGCCCATGCAAGCTGTGGAAGGATGCTCACCTAAGTATTTGCTTGGCCACTATTCTTTCTGTCCCCAGCTGCTCCTTCAGGAAAATTCTGTTTTCTCAGATTCTGCTCAGAAGATGCAGGTGGAAGAAGCCAGGAGGCTGCTTTGGGCAGGCAGGGGATGGAGTCAGGAGAGCCATCTGGAGAATACCTCTGGAGTGTGAGGCTCCCCTCCCCTGCAGGCATGAATGGAGAGCTATGCTCCACAGCAGGGCTGTGGACCCGGCAGTGGCCTGGATAGCAAAGCGATGGGCCCTCCCAGCACGCCTCTAGCACCACTGTTCCAGGTCGCCAGCAGGAGTGGAAACAGTATTTAGAGTGGTGCTTGGGGCCAGCAGCCCTGGGCTGGTGCTTCATGCCACCAAAGGTGACTATTTGGCTAGCTATAAGAATTTCATTCATTTCTGTTGCTGTTGTTCTCAAAGCCTGATAGTTTCTTTCTCTTCTTTGTGTCCTTGGTAGATATTTGACTAGTTTCCAAAATAACGTCTTTCCCCCCCCCACCCTGGTACAAGGAATTGAACCCATGAATGCTAGGTTGAGTGGCATCCTCAGCCTCCAGAGCACTGTGACCAGTGGCAGACTGGCCCTCCCCACCACAACCTGAATGGCAGCCAGCGGGAGCTCCCCTGCACAGACCCCAGACTCCCAGTGAGCAAGGTAAATTAAGACTCCTTTACTCCTCCGCCGTGTCTCCTACCCTCACTGAGGGACAGTCCTAGCAGCCTGGAGCCCACCGCAATCCAGATTCCCTAAGCGTACAAAAGTAGGTGTCCATGGCACTCAGCTCTGCCATGAGCACTGGTGTCACTGTTGGGAGATGCCACAGTTCTGTCAGGAGCACGCTCACTCACTGACAGGGCTATGAATAAGTTAGTTTCATTGACAGTGCATCCTCAGGTCGTGCTCTGTCATGCAGTGCCTTCCCAGTCACCCTGGGGCTCCACAGCACCATTGGTCACTTTCTTGACTTTCTTCATGTTCTCCATCACTCCTGATGTTGTCACTCTGAAAAAGAAAAGAAGTGAAGATGTTAGGAATCCAGGACCCTACAATAAATGCTTCTAGACCAAGGTGGAAACCCGGCCTTCTCCTGTTAGCTGTGTGGTGCTGGCCAGGTCACTTGACCTTTCTGAGTGTGACTATGATGATGAATTCTTACCTTCCAGAACCACCATGAGAAAAAAGAAGACTGGCCACGTACCTGATCAAGCTCTCACCACTGCCAACATTAATTTTTCTCTCTTCCACCACAATGCCCAGAGATTTTAGGTCATATTCATATAATCATTATGGTTATAGAACATTCAGGAAAGAAAGCTAATAGAGGGGCAGACATCTATAGCAGCCACACAATCATTCCCATGGCACAGGGCAAAACCACAGGCTTGGTGTTCAAAACTCTGATGACTATGGACAATTAACACCACTTCCTTATGGTCTGGCATTCCTCAGCCATTCCAAGAAGCCCTTAGCTTCTCCTCCATGTTGCTGCTGCTCCTGGCTCGGCTCTTTTCGCAACCACTGCACCTCCTCCTGTCCTCCACCTTCATCGCACCCTTCCTCCCAGGCTTCCATGCGCTGTGTCCTGAGAGCTACGTGTCATCGCACAGCTGCCAGTGGCTCCTGCACTGCTCCTGCCCCCTCTGGTGAGCAGCAGCAGCAGAGGCCAACACTTCCCACGTACTCAAGGGTGACTGAAGTCCTGACGTTGTAGAAAGGAGAGAAGGCAAGGTGAGAACACCAGCCTAGGGGGCAGTGGTACCAAGAGGGACAGCCGAGAGCCATAGGAGGCTGAGACCATGAGATGGTTACTCACCCTCTGAGGACAGGAAGGGTGACCTAGGCAGCTGCCCAGCGCTGCTGCTGGGCTGGGTGGGTAGTGCTGCTCTTGAAGCCTGGGGGAGAGCAGGAGGCAAGCAAGCGCGGAGCGTGCAACTAAGGGGAGAGGATGTGGGCTGGCGGTGAAGCTGGAGGAGAGGGCCAGTGTGCAGGCGTGAAGGGTGCTAGGAAGGAGAGGCAGCACGGAGGGAAGGAGTGTGAGAGCGCAGGAAGATGTCAGAAACAGGAGAGGAAAGGAGCTCCCTGGGGCCCGGAACAGGAGCTGCTGGAATGATCCACGGGACAAACTGATGGAGATGCCGGAGCAATGGACCGCCTCAGGGTTCCCAGGCACTCAGAGCTGCAGGGGAACTGGCTAGACCTGTACAGCAGCAGCTCAGTGGTGAGAACGAACATGGGAGTGGAGCAACATCCTCGAGCCTCTGGGCAGACACAGGCTCGCAGAGTGCAGCTCCCATACTGTCCCATGCGTTGTTTCCATGCAAATGCACAACATCTGCCCAGCAGCCTGTCCCCAAGGACCCCTGTGCAGGAAGGAGGGAACTCTAGAAAGCTCAGGTTAGGTGATGGCCACTGGGACAGAGAGGGGCTGTGGTTCTGTACATCCAGTGATAGACTCTAGAGCAGCCACAGTTGGGGGGGGGGGGGCACGGCTCCCAAGCCAGTCTGAGCAGCAAGTCCCACAGGGTCAGCCAATAGGGTGCTGAGGACAGAAAGGTGCTAGGGACCCACGTTGCCTCCGTATTTATCCCCCTTCCCTGACAGAGCCCCATGTGTCCCCAAATCTAAAATACAGAATGAATACAGCCCTTCCATCACAGCAGGCTGCAAGCAGGCAGCTTAGCTGAAGCTGCCCAGGGACACGGCTGTTTCTTCCCCTGACCTAGGCCTTCCAGACCACAGAATGTGCTCACTGGTTACAAGGCTGGAGTCTACGCACCTCCCCCATCACTTCCTCCCAAGATTCAAACATGCTCAGACCCCTGTCTATAAGGTTTGCCACTCTCAGACTGATACCAAAGTAAAACTTTAAACCACAGCCATGAAGGTCAGGTATGGTGGCTCACTCCTTTAATCTCAGCACTTGGGAGGCAGAGGCAGGTGGATCTCTGTGAGTCTGAGGCCAGCCTGGTGTACACAGAGTTCCAGGACAGCCAGGACTATGCAAAGACCCTGTCTCAAAAAATAAAATACAATATTGCCATAAAATACACACATGCTTTTTCCCAAGATAGGAACAGGGGGAACACAATTCCCATAGGACCACTTGATAGCTCAGCTCAGCGGAGGGCACTATGAGCCTGGCATCTTGCAGTGGAGAGGCAGGAAGGCCACCAGCTGACTTGGGTTTGCACCTCTTTCAACAGCCACTTGCAAAGACTCCGCTAACTCTGCTACAGCTGGATGCCCTCCTGCCCCTCCCGCTGTGTGGTAAAGGTACTGGGGCACAGGGGATGAGACTTGGTCAGGGCCCATCCCAGGATCCACCTCGCACTTACTGTCCTGTTGGAGCAGCCAGCAAGAGGCCGGATGTGGCTGACAGCCCTTGAGTTGTGGAGAGGAAAAAGGCAATGGGGAGTCTCGGCCTGCGCTGACCATCACACACACAGCTCATTAGAGTCAGAGCTGGCACACAGGTTATGAATCATCTAGAAAATGAGTGTCTTTTCCTGAACCTAACCCTAACCTGTGACTCAGATCCGGGATGGAGGTGCTGTCTCCATCAACCTGTGGTGAATCAGAAGATGCCATTTTCAAACACTGGTAGCAATGCTTATAGCCTGATAGTCCATTCTAAACTGGCCAGAACATTTCCAGACTCTTGCCACTGGGTCACTGGGATCTGCTTCAATGATACTTAACAGGATGGTAAGTTCTAATTTTTCTTGATAAGACTGAGCTATGGCTGGCAGACACTGCACTTCAAACCAGCTAAGCACGCCAGGGGCTCCAGCATTCAATCCTGCTAAAAATAGAGGCACCACCTCCAAGCTGCAGGATGCTGAGAGCAGGGGGCTTACTGCTTAACATGCCTTTCAGTTCAGAAGGGAGGGAGGGAAGGAAGGAGGGACAGAGGGAGGGAGGGAGGGATAGAAGGAGGGCAACTTACACAGATTCCATCTCCAGGTCATCTTCCTCCTGAGAGAGCTGCAGGTAGGGGTTATCTGAAGCTGGGCGAAATTTATAGCCCGTCAGGACAAAGAACACCAGCGTGGCTGTTTCATCCAGCAGCTGCAAATTTAAAATCCACCCCAAATAAAAGGATTAGCAACACTGTTTTCCAGAAAGCAAGGAGCTAAACAAGCTGAGGACTCCCTCAGTCTTTCCCACAGCACTACAGCTGACTGCTCCTGAGCACTGCCTCAGTGTGCAGAGGTCCGTGCCCAGAGCATGGCCAGAGTAAACACTCAAGTGTCTCCAAGGAACGCCCTCCCCCCCTTTTTTAAATGATGAGAAGGTCTTGCTGTGAAATGTGGGCTGGCCTTGAACTCACCAGCTTCTGTGTCAGCTTCCCAAATGCTGGGAAGTGTGTGCTATCACACTGGCTCATTGTATACCTTCTCTGTCTTACTTGTTCTTCCTATTTCATTAGTGTGTGACAGGGTACAAGTGTGTGTCTGTGCTGAGTGTATGTATGTGAGTGTGTGTGGTGTGTATGTGTGTGTGTTTGTATGCATGTGTGTCTGCACAGGCCAGAAAAGAGTGCTGGTTCCCTTGGAGCTCGATTTACAGGGCACTGCGAGTCACCCACCCATGGAGCTGCTAGAAACTGAACTCTAGTCCTTTGGAAGAATACCAAGCGCTCTTGACCTCTGAGTCATCTCTTTAGCCCCAAGAACAAAGGTGCTAATGCTCACAGAGCACTTGGTGACCCCTGACCAGCTCTAGTATCTAACAGAGAGTTTATAACTATAATAAAAATAATGACAGGTCCAAAAACCCAAGAATAAAAACAAAAACAAATCCCCAAACGAAAAAGGGCTGGATTCAAAACGACTCAAGCTCTGCAACTGAAGGTAAAGGTAGATAAATTCTAATTACACAAGGTAAATCTCACTCTCTGCTTGAGGCTTTTCTCTTTAAAGACTTAGAATTAATCAATAATGCAATTACATCCAGATTTATCATGTAGCCCAGCAGCTCCCCTGGGCACACAGATCATCGTATCTGGAGAGGAGACAGAGGTCTTAGAAGTCCTTCCAGACAAGTCAGACACAATCTTAAGCTACATCCCAAGACAAGATCCTCACACATAAATTCTCCACACAGTCCCCCAAGAGCAGCAGACCTGGTAGAGCCACTTCCACTGGAATGGAACGGCAAACTTGAGAAGAAAGGCAATGATCCTGGTGAAGTAGATGTAGCACACGATCTACAGAAAAGGAAAATCAGAAATGAGAGCATCATTTTTGCCACTAATTAACTGCAAAGCAGAAAACAGTCATCCAAAGGAACAGATGTGGTCTGTAGCTCAGCAGGGGCAGCCGCTGCTCTATCATGCCAGCCTCTCTCGTGTGGCTGAGACACTCACCCACCTGGAAGCTAGGTCCTTTGTACGGCTTTTCTACCGGTTCTTACTGCTCACATGCAGGTCCTCCTTGAGTCTCAGTCTCCAAGGGCACTCTTTTCATACCCAGGGTTGGGGGTGATTCCCAGCAAAATGGTCACATGGAGAATGCACAGTGAGCAGCAGAGGCCCACACTCTAGGACACACGGAACCATGCACTCTAACCCGCTAACACGTTCCTCTGGCCTCCCTGTGACGAGGCCTCAGTGAGACTTCAGTGAGACCCATGAGACCACACAGAACACTAGACCAGGCCTGCAGGCCAGGCTAAGCAGGTATGGGTGTCAGGCTTCAAGGCCTGGTCTCCTTTGCCCTGTCAAAGAACTGATGCTCTGTGTCATCATAGGCATCAGGAAATGCTCTCTGTGACCCCTGTTCTGATGATGGCACAAAACCCCATGTAAACAAGACAGACAACCTGCGAAAAAGCAGCGAGCAAGCACAAGAACACCAGCTGGATGGACTCTGTCCCCTGCTTTTCTGCTGCTGGTGTGCTTAGAGCTGTCACACTTCCTTGTGGAAGTCAAGGCAACAGTAGGAGATTATACTCTGCTCACACTGACTTGCTGAATGCAATGGTGCATGCCTTTAATCCCAGCACTTGGGAGTCAGAGGCAAGGGATTGAGGTTTGCCAGGGCTATGCAATGAGGACCCTCCCCCACCGCAAAAAACCAACCAACCAACCAAACAAACAACAACAACAACAACAAAAAAACCCCTAAAATCCCAAAACAAAACCAGCCTCGCTTTTCTGTTTTTAAGGGACATATCACTATAACAAGACTGGTGTCTTTCCTGGCAACTGGAGAGAGTGGTGAATACTCAGGAGCTTTCTGTGGGGGGCCTGCACAAGAGCACAAGAGTGCGCCCACATTCCTAGGTGGGCGGTGGGGTGGCTGAGTCTGGCCTAGGCCCAGAAAGGCCCTTGAGAGTCAAGCTCTGCGCCGACCACTACACAAGGGCCTGAGTCACCCCACAGGCCCTGCGGGTGTTTTCACGCGAAGTGTTTGTGCTACTTTTCTAAGTATTTAAAGCACTTCTAACAGGCTTCAAAGCAACCCAGATTTTTCATTTCCACTTTAAGAGAGGCGATGTGAGGCTGTGAGGCGGCTGACAGGTCTAGGCACGGTGGCTGCTACTGTCACCAGGTCTGCTCATTTATTTACAGTTTCAGAGTTTTTTGTTTTTTTGTTTTTACTCACCAAGACGTAGTAATGTCTGAAAACCTTCAGCTTTGCTAAGTTAATGGCAGCTACAAAGAACAGAATAAAAAGTACATTATTTTTTTTTTTCATCTACTTCCCATCTATCTGCCTTGCCACCTACATCCATCCATTCATTTGGAGACAAGGTGTGGGCCAGGCTGCTCTCAGACAGAACCCCCACCTCAGGCCTAGGGAGCCTGAAGGACTGCCTGAAATTCCTCAAAAAAATTTTTTTTTCTTTTTGGTTTTTTTGAGACAGGGCTTCTCTCTGTGCAGCCCAGACTGGCTTTGAACTCACAGAGATCCACCTATCTCTGCCTCCCAAGTGCTGGGATTAAAGGTGTGTGCCATCATGCCCAGTTCAACTTGTTCAATTTTTAACATCTTATTCCTTCTATATGCCCTCTCAAGGCAGAGGTGATGACCTATCACACACACGCACACTTACAGTAGAGTTGAGCAGGCTGAGTACCTGGCCAGCAGCATGTGCAATCAATCTCTCAACTGTTTGGGCGACCCCTCACTGGAGACAGGCAGCTGTGAGCAACTGACGCCGTGGACGGGTGTCAGTGTAGGCGAGGGCCAGGGCTACCTGTCCCCAGCCCTGCACTGCAGCCAAGAGGCACAGTGGCACCCCAACCAGTATCACCACCAGGCTGGCCTAAAGGAGCATCTGGGGTCTCCCAAGGGGGTGAAGTCAATCAACTCTCGTGTGCATTCAGTGAATTTCATGCCGGTTTCCCTTACATGCTTCAGTGAGTCCTTTGAAACCAGGCTCCCCGGTGAAGCCCTGCCTTCAAGAGCACTCAAGGTCGGACAGACCAGGACATCCAGCTTCCTGACACTGCCCACGGCTATGAAATATTGATGCCCGCAGAGGACAGCCTGGTCCCCCCCCCCCCATTAGCAACCCTTTCATTCATCAGAGCCTTCCTGCAGGAGGCAAATTAATTTTGCTTAATAGCATTCAATTACTGATTCAGTTTAAGAATGGGACTGTGGGTGGCACACATTCAAATTTCCTCTTCCTCTCCCCTCTGGCTCATGATTAGTGGGGGGCAATCAACCTAAGGATTCCCACAGAAATTCCAGGAATCCTAAGTTAGCCAGGTGATTATCAACTAGAGTTCTGAAGCACTGGCTTTGGGTGGGTCCCTGTGTGTGTGTGTGTGTGTGTGTGTGTGTGTGTGTGTGTGTGTGTCTTCATACAAGCGCACAACTGGCAGATCATCTAACACTCATTTCTCTACATCTCTGACAACGGTTTTGTTTTTTAAACATTAAACTCTCTGATTCCCACCCTTTGTTCATGCAGTCAATACTAAGTGATTAAGTTCTGACTTGCACCAGGCATTGCATACAAGCAGTGCTCTGGGCAGCTGCAGCCTCCTCCCCGCTGTCAGGACACCCTACCTAGAGCTTGGGAAGGGTGCTACTAAGGACAGATGCTACATTTGAGACATTCTAGGTAAAGCGGAGTGTCCTAGGCTTGGGTTTGCCCACGTGCACAGCCCTGAACCTCCTGCTTCCGTGACAGGCCCCGCTCCCACCACACTCTGCAGCAGAGCCAGCCAAAGCTGAGGGGCACTGCAGCCCGTCATCCAGGGCAACCACTAACTCTCTCCTTTCCTGTGCTCTCAATTTTTTTCTGCATGCTGCTCTGAAGGAGACCTGAAAATGGAAACTGTTTACATCAGAACTACCTCTCTAGCAGAGAAGTGTCCTGCTTTCTTTCGCAGAGTTCCAGGTGCCAGGACAGGGAGGAGCTGGCTGAGGGAGGATGGGTCTAGGCCGTGGAGGGTAAGGCAGAGTTTTCCACGGGGAATGAGTCAGGCAGTGAGAGGACCAAAGGGGTACCTCTATGGGACAGCTTCATGGACAGACAAGACTGGGGCTCAGCATGCTGGACCCTGGGGTGTGCGGAGCTGGCGACAGGGCCAGACAGAGAGTAAAGCAAGGTGAAGATACAAGACTGATCTTGTCCTTACTGGTGCTGAGGGACCCAGGGAATTTTACCAAAGATCAGTAGTAAGAGCCCAGCTGAGTGGATGGCCCCACAGATTTGCATGACCCAGGTAAGGTCAGGGCAGCAGGTTCAGCCAGACACTGTGGCTGCTGAAAGGAGAGACCTGAAAGGAGTCCTACAGGGATTCTGAAGGAAATGAGTGGGCAGAAGGGGACTGTGGGTAGGCCCTGCCAGCCATAGTGGGCTAATTATGGGGAGTTAGAGCAGAGTGTGACACGTGGGCATCTCCCCTTACCACATGCCATGATGTCACACCTCCAGGCCACACAGACACTCCTGAAGGGTGACACTTCTGTAACTGAACCAGTGTGGCTCACACCCTCACTCCAGAAGGGTCCACTACAGAACAGCCATGATACCCAGCACTCCTAGAGGTGACAAGCAGGTCTTGGAAGAATGTGAAGAGCTCCAGGCCATTTCCTAAACCAGCCATGATAACATCGGTGCTGACACCATGACGTCAATTAGCACCGCTGCAGGCGTGGCCTAAGCCCCTCAGGCCCGTGGCTGGGTTCCCTTGCTCAGCTGGGGATGGACCCCAGAGCATCAATCTGGTTCGTCAGTTCATTCTAGCCATCCCTGACAGCCTCCGCTCTGCAGGTGTGCAACTGCCGGTGAAGCAGGAGAGCGTTCAACAGGTCAGGCCCAGTGCAGCTGTATGTCCAAGGCTAAACCTCATCTGCTGCCTGTCACTCACGTGATACTAGGCAAGTCAGCTCCCCTCTCCGTCTGAACCTCAGTTTGTTCATCTGTTAAGGCAGGAACAGTAATATCCGGCCTTAGGGTTACTGGAATGACCAGCAGGGAATACAGCAACAAACGGCTTGCACTCAGCACCTGCATACTCTGACATTACATTGGGCTTAGCCTGCATCGGGGTGGCCATTAGGACTGACAGAAACCCAGACTAGTAAATACTGGAACAAAATGTGAACCTGGGACTACCAGCACGCCCAGGCTCTCCTGGAAACAGTGCTGCCTGCCATATGGAACTGATGAGTCAGGGTGAAGAGCAGGGGAGGACCAGCCACAATGTGAAACCTCCCAGTATCCTGAGAGGAGCAGCAGCAGCAGGCACAGCTCAGAATCCCAAGCTTCCTTTTCTTCTCTCCCAAAGATTTCCCAGGAGTTTAGGAAGCTGATGGCTTGCTGCTCCCTGGACTACAGGGGGCTGGGCTCTCACGGGAGTGAAAGCTTGCAGAGGCTTGGCTATTTCTGACAATGCCAAGCTGGAGCAGCAAATATGGTCAAAGAATGAGCAGGCAAGAAGGAAAAGACTCTGAGTGGAGCCAGGAGCCCTCAGTCCCACCACATGCCTGCCCCTGGCCCCTGGCTCCTTTTCCTGGCACTGAGTTCCTTATCTGGAGGGGAGCCTCTTTAGGGCAGAGGAGCTTGTTCAGTGAACACCAGAGTGGGCCAGAGCTTTGTTTTCAAGACAGGGTTTCTCTGCGTAGTCCAGGCTGTTCAGAAACTAGGTTTGTAGACCAGGCTGGCCTCGCACTCAGAGGTTCGTCTGCCTCTGCCTGTGCTGGGATTAATGGTGTACTCCACCACCGCCTGGCTTAAACTGAAACATTTTTAGGGAATCTGGCCCAGGCCCAACTGTGGAGGTTGAACTCCTGCTGGGAGAGGAACAAGCAGCAGGCTTCAGCTCAGGGGCGCTCCCCAGGGAGCTTCTGCCTCCCTCAGAGAAAACAGCCCCAAGCGAGCCTGAAGCTTGGCAAAGGCTTCTTCCTGCCAATGGCCATGGGAGGTGCCGCTGGCTGCCCTTCCCCAGACTGTCACCCTCCCTCAGGTCATGGTGACCACGAAGACCAAAGAGCAGGTGACAGCTACTTGGGGAGGAGAGCAGGAGCATTTTTCTTAGGGATGCAGCCACTGACAAGCTGCCCACAAGCCCGGACACATCCCCACAGTATGCCACACAGGCAGGTCTGCCTAAACTCTGCTGGGGCCCAGCCAGATGGCTCAGGAGGTAGGGGGCCTGGATTCAATCTTCAGAACCCATGGAATAAGATGAAAAGTGTCACCGTGATCCCCAACAGGAACACTACAGCTCACACTCGTTCCCCTACTCCCCTGTGTATGCACACACTTGTGCACAAACACAAATAAGAAAACACAAATTAAGGGCCAGTAAGAAGGCTCAGCAGGTAAAGGTGATTGCTGCCCAACCTGACAATCTGACCTCATCTCTGGAACCCACACAGGAAAGGAGAGGATGGATCCATGAAAGCTGTCCTCTGACCTATCAACTGCACCCTATCACACGCACGTATGTGTACTCATGTACACAGACAGACAGACAGACACACACAAACACACACACACACACACACACACACACACACACACACAAGAAAAGTTCTTAAAAAAATAAATAAAATAAAGGACATGAAAGGAGGGGTGTGTGTTAAAGAGGGTTCCAGAAGCAGTGGGGGCTGAGAAGAGAAGAGATGGGAAAATGTAGTCAAAATGTACTCAGACATGTATGAAGCTGTCGACAAATTATAAACTATTTCTCAAAGCGGGGTGGGAAGGTGGGCCTGTTGTTTGTGCAGAGGGCCCAAGGCTGGTTCCCAGCACCTGCATCAGTTGGCTCACAACCACCTACAACTCCAGTTCCAGGGGATTTGAACCTATCTTCTGGTCTCTTCAGACTCTACATGCATGTGCATACCCCATGAATCATAAAATTAAATCTTTTCAAACCTAAAATATAAACAACAAACAAATGAAGGCAGCTGCCCCAGCTGACTTCCTTTGATAGTTCTGAAACTATCCAGAAAGTTAGAACTCCCTCGATCATCACCATCTGTTAAGTGATACGGGCACTGAGGGTATGCTTACCATGCCATTTTTTTCTGCTTCTAGAGCAGGCAAGGGTGGCAGGCTCTGTCTATGCAGTACCCAAAAATCTCTGCGGCTACTCAGCTCTGCCACTGTAGGGCAAAGCAAGCCACCCCTAGACAGTCATGCCTACAGTCAAATACAATTTTATTTATAAAAAAACATGGGGAC